CRGAACAACTGGGCATCCCTGTTCTCTCTGCATTACCCAAAGAGTGGCACAGCCTTTCACAGCCCATTGTCCCCATCATCCACAAACCCAAACAGTTCAATCATCTCTAACCTGTTTTCCCAAACGAGTGTGRAAAGCATTATTTTTCCCATCACTGAGAGATGCCTTTTGAATGGACTCTCAGAGCAGACACACACCATGCAGTGGGCACTGCTGCCTGATGAGCTGGCTGCACTGGAGACCACACTTCACATCACCACTGAGGAGCTGCAAGGACTTAGATAGTGCTTGAGACAGGAAACTGTGATTTTAAGGCCACAGAAGGACTTTGCTGTGAGATAAACACAGTGGCAGGGTGGCATGGCTCCAGGCTGGGCWCATCCTGGGTAATTCTTCCAGACAAGGGTTCCCACTGTGGCAAATGGTGGAGCAGCAACTGCTTGTACAGGTATTGCTGGTCCCACCCCAACCCCTCTTTTACACCTGAATTTGCACAGAGGCATCTCTCAAAAATAGAATCAAACCAGGAGCACCAAAAAATTACTGAGGTAAAATAACAACACTGTTGCTATAAAGGGGAAAAATATCCTCCCTGGGATTTGTCAAAATTTCTTTAAAAACTTTTTTCCAGAATTGTAAGGCAAGTAAAAAATAAGGAAAAGAAAATCCACAACTGAATAAGGGAAGAGTAATACATAATCGACTTGGTTTGAACTTCTTTTGAAAGGAACAAGGCAAGGCTGCAAGAGTCAAAAAGGATTACCAGCCTTCTGATGTAACAATTCTATCTTTACAACACGAAACTCTGAGAGAGGAAAAAAAAGCTCTGAAATTTTGGAACATGTTTACTGCAGCCAATGAATTTAGACTATAAATGCACCAAAATTTTCACCAGATTCTGAGATGCACCTGTACCAGAGTCCTGGGTTAGCATCTGTACTCAACAGTGCTGTACAGAACAGCATTAAAGCTRTAACTCTCCCCTTACCACCCTGTTTCCCATCAGCAAGTGCCCAGGTAGTCACTGTGACTCCAAAAAGCTCTCTCAAATCTTTTAAATCATGTGCAAGAATCTTGCTCAGCTAAGTAAAGTTGCAAGGTCCAAGTGAAACAGCTTTGGCACAGACAGAATATTGAAAAGACTCACTATATAGACTCATTCAGGCRTTTACCAGAAAAAATCTGACTTGGTCGTAAGAGTCTGAAGARCTGTCAAATGATCTGTGACATTTAGAATCATAAAATAAAATCACAGAGTGAGTCTGAGTTGGAAGGGACCTTTAAAGGCCATTTTATCCAATCTTTCTGCAGTAAGCAGGGACACCTTCAACTAGACCAGGTTGTTCAGAGCCCCATCCAACACCCCTTGAATGTTCCCAGGGATGGGGAATCCATGACTTCTATGGATAACCTGTTCCAATGTTTAACCACCTCCATTATAAATCCCTTTTTCCTTAGACCCAGTCTGAATTTACCTKCTTTCAGTTTAAAAACATTACCTTGTCCTTTCATTTTTCCTAGTTTCTTCATCTGTAAATCTCTCCTAAAGCTCAGGAAAATATTTCTGACATGAAAAAGAGTTGGCAAATTACCGTGTCTGCTTTATGACATAACAAGATCTGTAGCTCTGAAAACACTTCAACAGCAAATAATATCTTTAAAAAAAAAATCAAAATCAGAAATGTGACAGCAGCTGAAGTACCAATACACAATCCACCTTTCAATTGGCGAGCTCAAAGGGCTGCATGTTGCCATCACTATTCTGAACTGCAGGACAGTCACAGCCAAAGAAACTAATCAAATGAAGCACATAGCTATCAGCCTAACTTTAAATTTGGTGCACCTGAATTTCACTGTACTTTTTTCACGCACTAGTGGCACATGAATGGTTTTCTGTGTTTCCATATGAACATGGCACAGCAGCAGGACATTGTGTGCTCAGGGACACATGTGTCTTAGACACTTCTTTTGCCACATTGCCCCTTGCAGGSTGAGCTTTCAGCTGAGAGTTTGCCCACTGAAGCAAAGTTGATTTAAAGCACAGAATACAGTTCCCTGGGCCATGCTTCCTCTCCCAGGCTTCCTCATAACAACTTGAAATGGAAGTGAGAATTTCTCATGCCACTGCTCTATTCCAGCAGCTGATTTATTTATATTCGAATTCAGATAGGAAGGACTAAAATTAGGACTCTGTAAGCARAACACACTGTTCAAAAGGTTTCAATTGTTTTAGCATCTGGGCACCTTTGAGAGAAACTGACTGATGTATCACTAYGGCAACACAAACAGGCCTCAATAACTTGAACTATTAAGATAACAAGAGGTTTTAAAGTTTTGTATTTCGACAGAATGTAGCAGAGTTAATGCAGCATCCAAGACAAAGTGGAGGGCTGAGAAAGCAAAGTAAGGTAGAGCTCACATTTCTTGGTTTTCACGYCAACCTCACATTGACCATCTATTTCTCTGCCTCAGCAGTTGTGGAGCAAAAAACGARAACAAAAACCACAAAGGCGTGTTCCTCTTGCCAGATCCATTCCTGGTGGATAACTGAGGCAGGGATTTTGCCCAGGGCACAAGCAATGATTCAGCAATTACCTGGGTATCACTATGAAACTGCTCCCTGATGGAATGGTCTGAGCTTCCAAGAAAAAACACAGGGGGGAAAAATTTGGCCCTTTATTCCTGCAATCCACATAAGATCTAATAACTGACACTTAAAATACTGTTAAGCTTTGCTGTTACCACTTCTGGCACCATTTGCTGCTTACAAAAAAAATACATTAAGCAAATATATTATTTAAAGCCACTAAACAGCTTCTTTCTAAAACAAAATAACATCATTAATCAATTATACAAGTAGCATTAAAAGCTTTTGGTTTTTTCTCTGCCCAGTCTTCACAGCATCTTGTATCCTGAAGGTCTTGGATATAATTTTATGTGGCACACAAGATAATTATTTTTAGTTATTTGTAACTGTTTAACATTTTATTATCGTTAATATGCATTTTATCTGGTTTGGATTACGCACTTTCTTAKGCAGATTTAGAAAGCATTAGTTATTCTAAACATACTTTGTAGGGCCTGAAGGCAGAAACTTCCCCCACAGGACCTCAATGACTGCCCACTGCTCAGCCCTCTGAAATGTGCACAACTTTTTGACATGAAAGTCAAAACCACACAGGTAAACAAAGATAAGCCATAAATCAAAACCATATAGGTAGACAAAGATAAAAATAAAAGCATGAATGTTGTTTCCCTCATGGAGTACCAATAACTATCATCCACACGTGCAGATGAGCTCACATGTGTATTCAGCATTCCAGTCAATGAATTCATCAAGTGTCAAGGGTGTGTTTACATTGGAGACAGATGATACTGGGACATTTAGAAACAGGAATTAGGAGCTGGTTTGCTTCCACTAGCTGGATACRAAGAACAATATCTACATGAAGAAAGCAGAGGCTGAAATGTGAGATGTGAACACTATGCTGATGTTTCATTCATAATGCTGGAGATTTTCTTCAACCTGTATCCTTTCACCTCCCTGCTTTGAAAATTTCTACAAAATTTACTGAATTCCACTTGCAAACATTTTCCAGCAAAATGGTTCTGTTTATTTCCAATATACTTGTGAAAAATGTTGGTTTAAAGTACTAATTCACTGATGCAGTTTCATATGGAGAGTTCAAATACATTCAATCTGYTTAAGCGCAAGGTGGCTTCTCACTAAAAGAATTCCAGATCAACAGATTATATTTTTAAATATGAGTATTAGAAAAGTAGCAGAGGTTAGAGCACCTTTGAGTGCTTAGGACAAGTTGTACTAATGTCTGTGTTCTTAGAAGATAACACTAATCATGTTGTAAAAATAAATAAAAATAAAAACCCAAAGACATCAAAAATCTCAGAGGTGGTTTCATCGAGCACATACTTAACACATACCAGAATTTCCTACTTTGAATTTATAAGGGACTATTAAATACTGAATCTCATCATAGTAGAAGAAAAAGCCAATCAAACAACAGTGYGGGTTTCTCTTTCAGTGAAGAGAAGAAAAAATGCTGCTTGAACTGACCAGAAAGATTATTCTGGATCTCAGCACCGTTTTTTGCAGCTCATTGCCTTTCTAATCCCTTGGTATTCAGAGAGCMAAACAGCTGAAGCACTACAACAATTAGATGCTAACAGTATTTCAAACACCAAGCCATTGCAGTAATACCTAGACAACGAGTAACACCCTGTGTTAAATTTTAAGTACAGGTTGTCTAGATGAAATGTAAGGATAGCAATGGAGTCACATTATCCACTGTCATGTTTTTAATTACCTTGAACATTTTAAAATGCACAGACCCCAGTCTGTGTTGTGATAAAATCTTACAATTGGGTTTTCTTTCTTTTCATGAAAACAAAATTATGTTATTCTCCAAGGACTCGAWCATTAAGAAATAACCATCCTGCCTGGTATTGCAAGGCAAATGTTACTGCACTGTTATGCTATGGTTATGATTCTCATCTAATGCAAGATACCAGAACACAGTCTAATCAAGCAGATAGGATTTCCCTGGAAGAACACTACCATGCTTTTGAAGATGCCATCAAATGCTGTACCACAGAGGTAAAATGATCACTGGAAAACACTGCAATATTTCAGATGAGCTGAGCATTTAGGAATCACCACCTTTATAAAAATCAGCTACTTGCAAGAATGAGAGGACTACTTAAACAAAATGAAGCACGTTATTAAGCCTATTAAAAAGTCACTTTCTCAAAGTATAAAGGCCCATTCCTGCTATATATGTCRTTACCAAAAATCTTGGGAAAAAAATGTAGGCTAATGAACAAAAGTAGCAGCTTAGCCTCAGGCCAGGTTCTACTTTTGGAAACACCTACAAAAGCCCTGATGAAAGAGAGAGGAGAGTGCATATGCATATCCACAAGAAGRAATCTGGCCTGGTATTTAAATTGTGCTTGTAAAAGATCATGTTATTTGAATAACTCACTGTTTGGACACATCAGGCATTATCATCTGCTCTTTTTTCCTTGTATCCACCGTTGTCTCCACAGGGGTAAGCACTACAGCAGCACATGAGACTATKGACTGGTAGGAGTCTTCCCGGCAAACTGCAAAGATAAAAAATCTCAGGGTTAAACAGTGAACTCAGTTTGCACTTTAAACGGAAATTAAAAAAAGGAAAAAATCGATTAATACTGTGGTAAACACAAATGCAAATAACTAAWCAGACTTCACTATGGTCACAGGCAATGAAAAGGCCATCGTTTCACACAATTCTTAACGTACTTACTTTGCACTTTTTTTGCTATTGATTGACTGCTCATTCACTAAGTTTTACCTAGTAAAAGATCTGTCAGTCTGCTATAGCTCATTGGTGGGTCTGAGACCTAAAAGGACTTGTATTTCCTAAATTATATCAAAATATGATTTGCTTCTCAGTCATTTTTCATCACAGACTGAAAATAAGGGTGAAAACAATGGGTGGTTTCCAGGCAAACCTCCCACCTTCAAAAATTTCAGACTTTGTAACAAAACAGATTTGAGAAAGCCTAAGTAGTGATTTATTTTTCACCTTTAACTGTTATGACTCACTTTTCTCCAAAAAGGCAAAAACCAAATGGTCTAGAACTGATACCTGACATATTGACTCATGCTTTCTTTTAATAAAAAATTTATTTGTATTACTGTGGTGAATGTTACAACTTAGTATTTAGTACCAGAAGAATGAGCATGTGTTTGAGCYGAGTATCTGTCTCAATTGGCACTAATAAATGAATATCCCAAAGTTTCAGAGCTCTGAACAGACAATTATATATGTTACAAGTCATATGTTCTTTCTAAATTGTGTCACTAGTAATTCAGCTTTTAGCACTGACCACTCCTACTGAGTTTGAAGCTTTTGAAGATTTTCTTTACAGCTGAGGTATACCTTTCTGAAACAAATAAAAGCTGGAATTAAGAGTTAGTTTTATTGGACAAAGCATGTCCAATGTATTATRTATAAGCAAGAAGAAATGTAGTGGCCTATGTTTAATCAGAAAGAGACACAGTATTTTATCACATAGTTCATTCAGTGCACACATGTACACATCCAATAACATAGCCTGTAAAACCAGAACGTCTATAACAAATTCTCAGCAATTCAAAACTAGGAAGGAACACATTTTAAAAGTACATACATTTATGCAAGAATGGTACAGCTGGGAACGTTGAACTGTGACATTTATTTATTATTATTCCATTCCCCACAATTATGGGCCTCCTAACAGCCCATAGACAAGGTACCTTTGGCACMGCCTATGATCCCCTTACAAAAGAAGCAAAACTGGACTAAAACCTCACCCATATTGCCCTGACTGGGTCAAGAACCACTAATTGTGGTGTTTTACCCTGAGGGCACAAATTACCTTCAGTCTGCACTCAGTTCACACAAACATGACACACTGGTGCTCCACAAACACTCCGAAACACTAACAGGAACAGGTCAGGTTGGAGCTGGATATTTCTACAAAGGTCTTTTTTTGCTTTCTGAGCCATTCTGAGCCATTCAGCAGGCAGCACAAATGGCAGGCAGCCTTTTTTTTAGGTGATTTTACAYCCTGTTGTATTAAGTACAACCAGCAGATCATCTACTAGCACAATTCTGCTTGGTAGACACCAAGTAAAGTATAAAACAGCATTTTCTCATTACAACCAGCCACTGAATACGTGCCAAAAAGAACATTTATGTCTCTTTGTCTCCTTATTTACAGTCAAAGAATTGCAAAAAGATAAGCTTGTCATTGTGTGCCACTGATATTGCGAACCTGAATTTTAACCAGAAACAGTGATAAAACAGGGAGCCTAAAGGTTGAAAAAAATACATATTTTTCTTTAGAAGACCTGTCATACTACTTGAAGATCAATTTATTACTTTAGAGCTCATAAAAGGTCTGTACACAAGCATCACAGGGGAGGGTTTGCCCTAGATCAGGCACCGTCCATCAGAACAGTTACAAAGAAAGATGAAAAAGGAAATCACGAGTAATATAAAGAAGAAACTGCTTGTCTCCTACTCTACAGAAAYTTCACAAATGAATAAAACTGTGAAATTGCTTTTTTTAATAATTAATGCCATACAGGAGTTGTATAATCCCCTAATTTACAGCTGAAGACAAACACAGTGGTCACCCAGTGATTGGAGGACACTGAATTTATTACCCCCCATTCTAGACAGCACTACTCCTTGGTCTCGCTTTTGAGAACCACTACAATTCCTCCTTTTTATCTCAAGTCTCTGYGCACAGTCATAAGTCATTATGGGACACTATAATTAACTAAAATGTCATGAAATAGCGATGGCACAGCAGCAAGTAATTTTCACCTACTGGAGTGTATGCTCTTACTGTCTTTTCAATAACTTGCATTAAAATAATGAGAACGTGCTTGAATGTGACTGTCAACTTTCACATTGAYRGGGATGGGCATTCTTTTACTTAAGATTTTTTGCATGTTATATTCCAAAATCAACATTAAGTGTAGCTTYATTTCTACRTTTTCATTTCTTAATCTACAAGTGRCACACATTTCCCCATAAAAGACCATTCATGATGTCTACATATCATACTCTTTATGATTCTAAATCTCTTCGATCTTCAAATTAACACAAATGTCAGAAAAATTATTATGCTAAGGGATAGCTCCTTTTAATCATAAATTCTCTCATGTGCCCAAATTGCTCCTTAACACAGAGAAAGAACTTAAAAATTTAGCCTTCCCACATGAATTGATAAGGAAATCAGAATTTTGAATTATCTGAGTTAGGGTTTGGCAAAGCCATCAATGTAATCAGCTGGTTCAGCCTACTACATTATCCCTGATGTATACTTCCAGAGTGGTGAAAATCAACAAGGGGAACAACCAGGCAATTTCATACTACCTGTAGCATTTTATTTAAGAAACTAGCATTTAGTGTCTCAGAATGAGTTATACACTGAATACCTAAAAAAAAAAAAAAAAGAAGAAGCAATTTGTATGCAAGTGAGATGGCATTTTTCTGTCCTTTAGCCGCAATTCAACCATTACATGAACAAGCTAATAATTGTAGCAAAATAACACAATTAGAGGAACATCTTTACTGTGTGTTATCATTAAAGAAACATAYTTTTCTTAGTGGAAAAAAAAGACACTACCTACCAATTACAAGTCATGCAAAGGAGAACTCTACAGAAATGGAAAACAAACAGTCTAACTTCATAGACTATTATTGCAAAAGATCTGTACTACTTTTGAAGCTGCACAGTTTCTCCCCAGATCCTTCRGTTTAATGATGCATACAGCTTGTTTTCTTTCATTGCCAAGTGTTTTAAAAGTACCCCATATATTTATCACTAGGAGTGCTGGCTTGGATTTACCCTAGCTGGTTTAAGCAGTCCCAGAACATCACTCACCATCAAAACAGATYTCTACATCTGGAGAAGAAAAACATTAGGGTTTTGTTTTGGTGGGTTTTTTTTTTTGCCATTTCTTTCAAGAACAATGAGAAAGACTAATTAAACATTTTTCTTCTACTTTGAACCAACCAGTGAAAAATTATTAATTCCCTAAATAGTAGGACAGTTAGAAGCYTTCAACAGATACCGAACAGAATGTGTCTCCAGAGAATAAAAAGATTTTTAAGCTCTAGGGGTGTCATTTACATCATCCATTTCAAACACTAAATTGTACACACTTCCCTCCCCTTTTTTTTTAATTGAGGAGAAAGAAAATCTGGTTATCGCTGCTTGCAATCAAGCAAAAGTCTCCCTTGACACAAGATACAAATGATGGTTAGATTAAATTAGCAGCAAATTCTACCTGCTTAGAGAAAACAGAAGGGAAATGTTCATATGCAGCATGCAATGAAGCATAAGGGAATCATAACAGAGGGACACAAAAACAGTGAAGTATTTCTGGATTTCAGAAAGCTGGGCACTTATCCCAGCAATCCAAAGTATTTACATTCATGCCTATGAAGTTTAAAATTATCAGCTCTCATCATTCAAGAGACAGATCATGTCTGGAAACAGACGCTGTTTTATACCAAAACCCTTCTGCTTTGGTAAAAAACTAAACAAGCAGCCAGGAGCRTGGAAGGCACTAAATGCTTTACCCKGAAAAATCTATCAGCTGCCACTGTAGGAGACAGGGGACTAGAGAATAAAGGGACAACATCTGGATCCCAAGTAGCCAGTCCCATATCCCTTACTACCAAAGGCCAGACATTATGTTTTAATAACTCTGGAACACCAGTTCTCAGAGCTGGCATTTACGTTTTGGCAGATAGTTTCCTAAATGCCTCTCTACCATGAAAAGGCCCAGGAAATGAGCCATCCTCTGAGATGCTCTGAGCAAAGGACAAGGAAAAGCTGCAAAATATGTAACCCCTGTAACAGCTCTTCAGACAAGGGAGATTCAGGACAAAGAACTGTCTGTTACAAGTGAAACAGAGATTTTGCCAAAAAAAACCCCAAAAAACAAACCACAAACACACTAAGCAACCAAAAAGGATGAGTGGATCTACTGCAAATTTTTTTTTAGTAAATTAGAACAAGTGAAGAGCTAAGGAAAGAAAAAGAGTTTTTAAAATATGCAACTCAAGTTATTTTGCCAGGAAAGATGCTGACATTAGAAACAGCATATAGGAAAGAGTCTTGAAATCCAAYCTATTAATTCTGGTATGTCCAGGAAGAACTGTAATTAACAGCTAATCCCTTCCTGACTGCAGAGATGTCCTCTGATAATCACCGGCCACTCAGAGGGCTCAAAAAAGAAACAGAATTCTGACTTGTCTCTCCATCAACCCCAAACATCACCTGCTGAAACAGTTCAGTAWAACCAAAATATTAAGTTCAGTTCCACACACTCTTTCTCAGCCTGAGAAACACAATAAAGTATTTTACTACTTTTGTTATTAAACTCTAAAGCCCAAGGAGACTTTCAGTCTCTTTAAAACAACACAAAAGGTCAAGGTACTTTGTGTGAAAGCTCTTTTTGCCCATCTACTTATATTAAAAAAAAAGTCTAATATTAAAAATAATAATAATAAAAAAGCCTAATTTTCCTGCTGCTTGATTCTAGATTTGATGAT